AAATACCTGTTGTTTTTAACTAGGTCTGTGTGTTTCTGTGTGTGTGTGTGTGTGTGTGTGTGTGTGTGTGTGTGTGTGTGTTTTCCTTAAGCGCACTTGAGATTCTGCAAAGAAATGAGGAAGTGGAAGTTTTGAATTGGTTTTTCTTCTTGTCTAGGGAGGATTTTTTTTAAAAAAAGAGTTTCTAAGAGGTAAATTGAATCCCTTCCTCAGGAAAAAGTCAGTTTTTCATGAATCAAGTGTATTAATAATAACTTTTTAATTGCTGGATTGTAACTTTTAAAAGTTTGCAAGTTGGGAACTTGTTTCTTGGCTCTGCGACGTTCCCTCCTCTTCCTGGGGTTCTCTCCTCCTAGGACCCTGGGACCAAGGACTGCCCCTCAGGTCTTTGATCTCTCTGATCTCCTTGTCCTTTTGAATACATTCTAGAAGAATCTTTGGATCCTCCTCTTCAAAAGCCCACATGCTCTTGGGGGTTCCCATTGTTCGGGATAATCCGGAGTCTTCATGTTGTAAACGACAACCGCCACACCAACATGTTTTTCTGTTGTCCTCTTGGCAGCTTGAGAACAACGACACCATAAGGAAAGCACTTAGGGATCCCATTACAGTTCAAGGGCCAGAGCCAGTGGCCTCCGCCAAGTGCCAGGTCCTCCTATCCCTGAGTGAAACACTCACATTCCCTGGGAAGGGGCATAGGGACCAGAGCACAGGGCAGCGAGGGAAGTGCTGTGGGCCAAGGGCGGTGGTTTCTGAAGATGGCTCTGCCTTTAGAAGGCCCACTGGAGCTTTATGTCTGCATGCCCCATAGCAGAACTGTCCTTGCTCTTCTTCATGTTTAAATTTATGGTGAGGTAGGAAGATTGCTCGAGCCCAGGAAGTCAAGGCTGCAGTGAGATATGATCATGCCGCTATACTCCAGCCTGGGCGACAGAACAAGAGCCCATCTCAAAAAAATTTAAGGGCCAGGCACAGTGGCTCATGCCTGTAATCCTAGCACTTTGGGAGGCCGAGGTGGGTGGATCACTTGAGGTAAGGAGTTTGAGACCAGCCTGGCCAACATAGTGAAACTCCCATCTCTACTAAAAAAAAGACAACAATTAACCGGGCCTGGTGGCGTGTGCCTGTAATCCCAGCTACTTGGGAGGCTGAGGCAGGAGAATCGCTTGAGCCTGGGAAGTGTAGGTTGCAATGAGCCAAGATCAGCCACTGCACTCCAGCTTGGGTGACAGAGCAAGACTCTGTCAAAATAAAAAAAATTAAGGTATATAGACACACGTTTAAGGTATATAAACACACGTACACGCACATAAATGCAGCACCTTTCCTAAGCGTACAGTTTGTTGAATTTTCACAAACTGAGCATGTCCACGTATCCAGCCTCCGAACAAGAACAGTGGGTCATCCGCACTACACATAGAGGCACACCACATACCCCTTCCCGGTCACGACTGGGCCCAGCATTATCCTGACTTCTGACAGCACAGCCTAGTTCCACTGGATTTTATACCTTGTATAGATGGAATAGTACAATTTGTACTATTCTGTCCAGCTTCTTTGGCTCAATTTACTTTGCAAGATTCTCATACACATTATCTCAGACCATTGTAGATCATCATGTCACCGTCTTGTAGTCATTCCTTGGTGGGAACAGACCAGGACTTGGTTATACATTCCACTGCTGAGGGGCAGTCACATGGTGTCCTGTACTTATTCTTACAAATTAGTGTGAGGCACGAGGCTTCCGAAGGTATTTTCAGGCCAAAGCAGCTGCTATTGTCCAAATAATTTAAGCAACAAATGAGGAAGGGGGGACGGAGAAAAGGAGATGCTGGTCAGAGAGTGCAAAGTTTCAGTTAGACAGGAGGAATTGTTTTAGTGATCTATTGGACAGCATGGTGACTCTGGTTATAATAATGTATTATATATTTCAAAATTGCTTTTAAAAGGTAGATATTAAATGTTCTCATCTAGGAAAAATGACAAGTATGTGAGATGATGGATATACTAATGTGCTTGATTTAATCATTCTACAATGCACACATGTACTAAACCATCAGGATGGGTGTGGTGACTCATGCTTGTAATCCCAGCACTTTGGGAGACCAAGGCAAATGGATAGCTTGAGCCCAGGAGTTGAAGACCAGCCTGGGCAACATGATGCAACCCTGTTTCTGTGAAAAATACGAAAATCAGCTACACATGATGGCATGCACCTATAGTCCCAGCTACTCAGGAGGCTGAGGTGGGAGGATGACCTGAGCCTGGGAAGTAGTGTCTGCAGTGAGCCATGATCATGCCAGTGCACTCCAGCCTAGGCAACAGAGTGAGAATCCTTCTCAAAAAAAAAAAAAAAATTACACGTACAGTATCATGTGTCAATAATAAAAAAGTGTAAAAGTAAGTCAGAACAAAAGCCACACCAAACTTTCAACAACTAAAAAGAAAGAAATGAAACAAATCTAGCCTCAGAAAATGTGCTGTTTGATCAGTTTACCCAGATAGCACAGGAGCAGAGGAAAAGGTTGTTTCTAGATTCCTTGGGTACTGTCCAGCTTCTCTTCCTTTCAGGGCAGGCAGTGTGGACAGAGACCTTAAAATACAGAGAGCTGGTGATGCTTGGGAAGTTACTCGCCAAGCCCCAGCCTTGATTTGCTGAAAGATCTCATCAGAAGAGGAAAGAGTGGGTAGGCATGATTGGGATGGTGGAGGCAGGCAAATGCCTTCATTCACTGGAAGCAATTTCAGAAACACCTGGATGCTGGGCTCCACAGGTGTTTCTCCCATCTAGAAGACTGCAAAAAACACATTAGACTAACTTGTCCCACTACCAGGAAGATGCAACTAGGTTCCCCTTCTTCTCCTCCAAAACAGTCCCCTTGGATTCAAGGTGGTAGCAGTCGGCCCTAGAGACTGACGCCAGAAACCTCAGAAAGACGTCAAACCATTCAAGGAAGTTCAGGAATGTGCTGCACAGAAACTTCTGACAGGAAATCCAATTTCCCTATCTAGATTGAGCCCTAAAAGACAGTAAATCACGGAGGTCTTGGAGGTTGGAGAATTCAAAAGTCTGGATGTTTGTATTCTTTGGTTGGTGCTAATATAACCCTGACATTACTGCTTCTGTTGAATGCATATTAACTACGTGGTATTAGCTGGTATCTGCAAGCTCCAGGGAATGCTTCCCTCAAGACAGCAGCATTTTGTAAATTAATTCAATAAACACAAAAGTAAATGCATCTGTTTAATGGAGGAGGCAATTAATGTTTCCAGATTCCCCTGGCCTCCAGCTGGAAATCTGGTTGAATTTTGAGGTGTGAGTCAGTCCATCCCTCAATGGACAATGACTGGAAGTCTCAGGTTCTGGAGGCATTGGCTCACAGGGGTCAGGCCCTGTGGTCCTCGCTGCCAGGTCCCGTCTGCGTTCAGGGAGATGCTATCTCCCAGGAATACTCCATTCTCATGCAGGAGGCTGGGTCTCCTCTTGAGGGGTATTAGGTGGTACCAGCTCACTCCTGGGCCAACAGCAACATCAATGACAACTAAAGCTGTGGATCCCTCTGAGTCGGGAGCTTGTCGGGCAGCCTCACCCCTGAGGCTGGGCTTCATCCAGGGCAGCAGGTCCAGGCCTCGCAGGAATAAGACAAAGATGCTCAGTTTCACTATGTCATTCAGGAAGTGCTAACCAGTGTGATAAAACAGGATCATAGCGTAAGAAACATAGGTTTTGGAAAAGAGAAGGCTTACTATTATTCATTGTGGGCGATATACTTAAAGCCGAAAGAAAACCCTGAAAAGCAATTAGAAACACTAAGAGATAATAATAATAAAAGGCAGCTCTTACAAAATTAATATAAAATAAATACCTTTTTGATAGACAAATAACAACTCTTTAGAAAATATAATGGAAGGAAAATGTCACTCAGAATAACACTAAAAAACCAAAGTCCTAGGAATAAATTTAGGAAATATGAACACGTGATGAGAAGGAAATGTTAAGTCCCCAGTGTGAACATAAAAGAAGATTATTTCAATATATAAAAATCTCTATCTTTCTCTTGAATAAAGGGCATAATATTATGCAGTTGTCCATTCTTCCTATGTACTCTATATCCTAAACACTAATAGAATCTATTAATATGTTCCTGTAATGGAGCTGGAGAAAGTCTAAACAAGAAAAGAGATGACAGGGCACTTACCAAATAGATATGAGTATTTGTGATAAAGCAGGAATTGACCAAGCCAGCTCCTGGGCTGTTTCTGTATGTGCCATGAACAAAGAATGTTTTTTGCAATTTTAAAGCTTTTTTTTTTTTTTTTTTTTTTTTTGAGACGGAGTCTCGCTCTATCACCCAGGCTGGAGTGCAGTGGTGTGATCTCTGCTCACTGCAAGCTCAGCCTCGCAGGTTCATGCCATTCTCCTGCCTCAGCCTCCCAAGTAGCTGGGACTACAGGTACCCGCCACCTCACCCGGCTAGTTTTTTGTATTTTTAGTAGAGACGGGGTTTCACCGTGTTAGCCAGGATGATCTCGATCTCCCGACCTCGTGATCTGCCCGCCTCAGCCTCCCAAAGTGCTGGGATTACAGATGTGAGTCACCATGCCTGGCTCTAAAGCATTGTTTTTAAAAACCTGTGTGTGACCCTATGAAGCCCATAAAGTCTGATAGATTCGCCATCTGGTCTTTTCCAGCAAGAGTTTGCCAATGTCTGTTCTAGAGCATCATTAGTTTTAATAGTCTGATAATGGAACAGAATTAGACCACACATCAAAGAAATAATATGCAGTACAGAAATAAACAGAAACCAACTAAGAGTATAGACTAAGCTGCCATTTAAAAATCACCAGCCTGGTCAACATGGTGAAACCCCATCTCTACTGAAAATACAAAAATTAGCCAGAAGTGGTGGTGCGTGCTTATAATCCCAGCTATTCGGGAGGCTGAGGCAGGGAGAATTGCTTGAACCCAGGAGACGGATGCTGCAGTGAGCTGAGATCGTGACACTGCACTGCAGCCTGCGTGACAGAGCAAGACTCTGTCTCAAAAAAGAAAACAAAAAACAAAAATCAAATCACTTAGAAAAGATGGCTTATCAGTATCTCATCTTGGCTCACCTAGATAGTCATTTGGCAGAAAAAACAAAACTGGTGCCCCGTTCTATTACTAACTTTGGAGAAGTGGAGCCTTTTCTTAGTTCCACACAAAATCCAAAAACATTAAAAGAAAGCATTAATAACTCTGACTGCGTAAAAACCAGTACCTTTTGAGAAAGAAAAATGCCTTAAGCAAATGTAAAAGTCAACTAACCAACTGGTATTTGAACGGAAAGGTATATAGAAGAAATAAGACCAATAATTTTCTTTAATATAAATAAGTTCCTGTGAATAAATAAAAAGGAACAACTCCATAAAAAATGATCTAAAAGTACCAACCAGCTGTTTATGAGGAAACAAAAATGGACAAGAAACATGTTCAACTCAAACACAAAGAAATGTAGATAAAATTATTGTATGTAGTTTTTCTTTTATCAAAATGACAGAAAAATTTTGGTAATGCCAGTCCATGCCATGAAAGGCATTCTGAAGAAACAGTGTTCAGCTTGGGATCTGAAGGGCGTGTGGGAGTTATTCGGGTAGAGGGCGGAAGCATCCCATCCCAGACCGAGAGAACACTGTGTCCAAAGGCCTGTGCTGTGGTGGCATGGAGCCTTCTTGTTCAAAGAACTGAAGGGTCGTGTGCCCATACTGGATGAGACAAGCTGGACATATGGCAAAAACCTGGCACGGAGGCAGGAATTTTGTCTTTGTGCTAACAGCCATAAGAAGTACTTGAAAGGAGCCAACAACATACCCAGAGGCGTCTTTGACCCAGTCTCTCTTTCAATATATAAAAATCTCTTTTTCTTGAATAAAAGGCATAATAGTATAAAGTTGTCCATATGTACTCTATATCCTAAGCACTAATAGAATCTTTTAATATGTCCCTGTAATGGAGCTGGAGAAAGTCTAAACAAGAAAAGAGATGAGAAGGGACTTACCAAATAGATATGAGTATTTGTTATAAAGCAGGAGTTGGCTTTATCACAGGGAGTTACAGTGTGAGGAGGAGGTCCAGGGGGGTTTACATGCATAACCTTCTCCAAGAGCAGGATTGATTTAGAAAGCGCTGACTTCCTATCTGCTGTGTAGATCAAAGGTATCAATCCACTTAAAGGGCTAATTTAACACACAGCACATGAGAAATGCTCAGTACATCCTTGCTATTCTGATGGCTTTCCATCGTCTGTCCTGCTAAGCGAAGAAGTCCAAGATGTACTAAAAGTTACCGAAGTGCTAAAGAAGAGCTAAAAGTTACAGAATAGTAAGCTTTCTAAAGTCCTACTTGCGTAAAGATAAAGTAAAACAAAATAATATGCTTGTGTATAATTGTATATGCAAAAATATTTCCTTCTTGGGAAGCAGGGGGTGAATAGAGGTTATGTTAAACTTTTACACTTAAAACCTGAAAATAACATGTTTATTGTAGTAAGCTTGGAGAACACAGAAAATCACTTGTTATTTAAAGTAGATAGGCTGAATGTCGAACTTGGTTAGGACTTAAAGTAAATCCCTTTAATGAAAGGAAATATAGTTCCAAGTAATTAAGTCCATGGGCTGCCTTTGTGCTGTAGTTAGAAAATAATCTAATACAGAGGAGAGAAAAGAGAAAGAGAGGCTGAATTTCAGGGACAGGACAGCAAATCTGATTCCACCTAACACTCACCTTCCAGGAGTTTTTTTTAAAGCCAATGAAGAAATTCCTATCATCCCAACATCCCAACACTAGCACTTCCAATTTATTGTGACCTGTTGCGCATACTTAACTAAGTCATGAGATACGCAGCTCTTTTGAAGAGTCTTCCAGATGGATGCATCATTTATGCACTTAAGATTGAGTTCCATTGCGCAAAGAGCTACTCTAGGCAGCCTAGTGGATGTGCCAGACGACTGCACCCATGGTGCTTCCAGCAAGAAGTTAGACAGTGGGGTGGGGAGGAAGGATGCTGGGCTTCCTCTGGCTCTCAGATCACCCACCTTTATTATAATTAGGAAATCGGAAAACCAGCCACAACCAAATGCTTCAGGAATACCTCACCTTAGGAACTAGGGATCAAAAAGAGGCTCAGAACTATGAGTGGCTGCAACTTGCTCACGAGCAAAATGACTGCTCCAGGCCCTGCTCTTCACACTCACAGAGCCACTGCCCAGAAATCAGGAGCTCTTGCTAAAACTGCTGCAGAAAACCAGGACCTCTCCACTGTGCTTCACGATGGAAACGGCAGACACGGCAACGCGCAGCCCCCACTCCCTTCTGTCCTGTAAATGGCAAGCACGTGCACCTAGTCAAAATGAAATAAAATCAGGCCCAGAATCTAGCTGCAAGGGAGTTTGGAGAATGTCATTTTTCGTATTACAACTTCTGCACACAGGCTGGAGAGTAGAAAGCGTGCAGAGCTCTGGTCCGCCAGGATCCAATGCAACTCAGAGTGCAGATGCGTTGATTTCCAAACCAGAATTGCTGTTGATTGACTTTGGGGTAGACCATAAGCATTCCGGATCTCATGGGACTGCACTTGTCTCTCTTCTTTGCCTGCAAGATCTCCTCCAGCTCCTGTACTGGGCAGTAGTCACCCCTGCAGTAGGTGAAGGAGGATGCTGAGGTCAAGGAAGAATCTTCAGCCTCGGAAACATCTTTGATTGTGAAGTCACAGAAGCTGCCTGCGTGGGAGACTGCTTGTGCACTCCTGTGCCGATCAGGGGCTGGAACCCAATTCTTGCCCCACGGCAGGTGTGTGAGGAGGCAGACCTACAGATCAGCGTGTGCTTGCTTGATATGATTCGTTTCATTTAACTGGCCAGACAGCTGAGGCTTAAGTGGTGTTATAAAAATACCAAGGCTAAAATAAATCAATATAACAGAGTTTGAGAACAAATGATCAATATAAAGATAATTAAAAGTAAATACATAATATGAAATAATTTGAGGGAAATAATTCAGGAACAGAATGAAGAAGGAAGCCCTCAGGGTCCTCCTCGAAATACTGTAAGTGAGTCAGACAACAGGACCAGTAATGGCAGAGGCAGAAGAGTGGCAAGAGAGGCAGGAAAGGGCGGTTACCCCGCAGCAGGATGCTGCTCTGTGAGAATCCCCCAGCGGGTGTCCCATTCCAGCCGTGGTTCCCCTACAGGCGGTCAACCTCCCTGAGCCTCTGCAGAGGGCAGGGATAGTAGATGTGCCCTTTGAGACCCACACCGAGCCGCTGAAATGACAGTATTGGTACTCTGGATACAATGGGAAGTTCATTAGGACTGATATTCATGGTAGTCATTGCCATATTTTCAGTTGCTTTCAGCAGTATTTGGGCCCCGGGATACTGATGTTTGCTCAACACATGAGCCTGCAGAAGTAACTGCGAGCAAACACCGGCTATCAGTATTAAGCATATGGTGCCGAGAACAATATGTTACAGAATACTGCAGACCCACTTAAATCATTCTTTTATCTAAGAATGTGAGGTGTTCAGTGGGTGAGTGAGAGTCCAGGGATTTTGCTCTATGGCTGATGAAAGGAACGTGACGTGTGATATTTAGCATCGGCGTCAGGAATGGCTCCCCTATTGGCACACTGACATCACCAGTGCCTATTCATCATCTATCCTGGGCACCTCACTCAGGTCCTCGAGAGCCCCCGTCCTCTCAGCAAGCATTACCTCTCTACTCAGACCAAGGCCTTGTGAGGGATGGAGGGTCACTAAGATGCACTTTCTATCCTGAAGACATTGTCGGTCTCCCGGGGAAGATGGACTTCAAGAGAACAAAGATGAACACTGGATCCCAACTGGATTCCGAGGTCTACAGAGATGGCTGCATTTTGTCCAGAATTTGGAAAGTAAAACTGGCCAGAAAATGCAGGGAGGGAGGTTCTAACCCAAAGGAGCTGTATCAGTCAGATATTCAGTATGGTGCTGCTGTAACCAACAGTTCGCTTGGAACTGACACATGTCATATGTGTCCCCAGCTTATCAGACACAGGGGCCAGGAACAAAAGCCTCCCACGAGCCCGGAAGGACACACTTAATGCACAACACTGATTGCTACAGGGACCAAGATGGGGACCTACAGGTGCATTTGGAGAAGAGGGCACTGGCCAGAAAGCCGAATCCACGCAAGGTGTAGGTTTGGGGAGAAGGGATGTGTCATAACAGAGTTCCCAGGAACAGCCCCTGACTTGTGCATAGGCAGTAGACTGGGGGTGCCCCCAGGGTCAATCCCCATAGGGAGTAAGGAGGCAGGACTGGAAAGCGGGAGAATTTGAGGTGTGGAGGCCCAAGGAAAGGCTCAGCTGGGGGTACTTCATGCTTGTCCTAATGCACCAAGCTAGACCCTCGTGCACCTCCTAAACCAGCCATTGGATGGGGGCAGCTCAAGGATGGAGTAGACCCTGGCTGAGGGCAGACCCCTGGGGAGGGCTAAGCTACAGACTCCAGCATCATTGCTGCATCAGGAGGGGGATGTGGGTGCCAGCCATAAAGGAGTGTCCTGTGGAGCACTATGGTCTCCAGCACAGAGGAAAGCCAGGGGCCTGGAGATGCCAGGCTAGAGATTCTCAAGCAGTCATTCTGGTATTGCTAGAATCACGGGGGCAGAATATTTCAGAAAGGTCAATGGGTAATGCCTTTCCTATGGGCTTGACTGGGATGTACGCTTTCCATAAAGTACACATTGTGAGGGTTGAACAACATACAAAGGACATCTGCACCTTGGCAAGAGAAAACGTAACAGTATGTGTAATATACCATCTGCTTTTCAGGTGTAGGACAACTGTATGCAAAAACAAAACCCAAAAAGAGCCTGAATTTCTGCCCCAGTTATAGTGTGATGTAGCCGACAGACCTCGCATATTTGACACCCTGAGCAGATCACTGCCAACACTCCTCTCTTCTATAAGACAAAATTATTGTTAGTAACAATCACGACATGAAACAAATATGCATGAGCTGAAATCTGAACTTACCCAATAAAAATGGTGCACCTCACAGTTCTAACCCTATGTCACTGTCTGGAATTTTAAACACAAACGCAGATTCCAAGTCACACTGAAGGAACTCCAACGTGTTTCTTCGTCTTTACCTTCACTGTGCGGTCGCTGCGTAGGTCATAGCTGCTGCCTCCATGCAGGAACAGGAATGTGTCGCTCCATAGGGCTGAGGACCCCAGTGGTGCCTGGAGCGAGCTCGAATGATCCAGGACCCTGATAAACGTCTCTCACGACGCACCTGTGGAAGCTCAGTCCATGTGTGTCAGACATGACCGTATTGCTGGGAGTTCTCTGAACTGACACCGTGTTTATTAAACAATCAGTACTGACTACGTGCTCACTTGAAGCTCATGTACCGATCGCTGAAGCTTGGGTAACAGCAGCAATTGTTCAGAATTCTCACCAGAAAAGATTCTGGGGGAAAAGAGTATGTCATGATTAACATTGTGAGAAATTCCTAGTGTGCAGTGACAATAAAGAGCAGGCTCATTGGTGCTTGGTTTTATTATTGTTTTAAAATCCCCCACAGATGATGAACCCCCTTCTAGCCTGCACCAGGGCAGACCCCTCGCTCACCCTGTCCTTGGCGCTCTGCTAGGATGGCACGTCTCACTGCCCTTGTGTTATTTTCTTGCCCCCAAGTTCCACTGAATTCTGGTATAACATCTCCAAAATTGAGCAGCATGACTCAAGAATGAAAGCGGGAATAATTCAGAACATAACCGTTGTAAGCCAAAAACTCCCTTCTTAGTGTCTAAAGGGATGTGAGAGAGAAAGTGAGGATGTCTGTGTGTGTGTGCAAATGCCAATGTGTGTTAGACGTCAGTGGGAACCAAAGACTGTGGGGACGGAACCAGGAGAAAGAGGTTTCGTTGGAAACTTGAATTCAGTAAGCAATGTGTTTGGCTTCCCTAAGCCTTGCTTTCCTCTTCTACTAAACGCTAGGGAAGCATTGTGAGAATTAAGAGATAATCTTCATGAAGGCCTTCAGCACTTTAGCTGCCTGAGAAGCAAGCACTCAATAAAAACTAGTTCTGCAATAACAAGGCTATAAGCATCTCTGTGTACCTCTCCTGGGAACAAAACCACGGAACGACATCATGGACACTACCTGGGGAGCCCCCCATGCTGACTGTGAGTCAGGCATTGTTCCACCTCGAAGGCTTTTCCACTGAGCATGACCGAGATGTGCTGTTGTCATGGTGCCACGACATTAACCACATCCCACACAAGCCATGGGGCAGTGACTCATAGCGACAGGTGGCAGGTGGTTTACACAAGGAGAGTGAGGTCTCTCAGATCTTGGAGAATTAAGCATTAGACAGGTACAAGCACAGTTTAAGTATCAAATCCATCCAGGAATCAGGTCCTTACATTTCTTTGGAATTTTCTACAACCATGTTATGAAACTAACCATGTTACGATATAAGGCATTTCCAGAATGCAGTGATGGCAATAATTGCTAACACTGATTGGACACAGACTACATGCCTTCTCCAGAGCCCCAGACCTAGCTTTCGTCTTGGTTTAGGTGTCTCCCAAAGCAGATGCTGCAACAAGGACTCAAGAGCAGGTGGTTTACTTGGGCGGTGATCTGGGAAGCCCAAGCAGGGAGAGGAAATGCAAGACAGGGATGGAAAGGATGCCACAAAGGGTACACTCAGGAACAGGTCACTGCTGGGGCAACTGGGCTCAGTCCCCGGGAGACCTTCCAAGTCATGACCTGGACTCTGCCCCAAATCATCCTACCATACGATGGGATTCTGGGGTTGTCTACTCCCTCATGACTCCTTGGCTGAGGATGCCTTTGGTGCATTACACAGCTGGTACTTCTGGGTCACCTGCACACGTGCACAAGCTCCAGAGACACCCAGGAAAACCCTCAGGCAATGATGCAGAGTAGGGTTTGGATACCAGCCCGGGGGACTAGGAGTCAAGGCCGGGTTTGCAGGGAATCAGTAGAGGGTTTTGATTGTCCTCAGGTTCCTCCCACTTGGATCGGACCCTGCTGCAAAGTGGATGGGAAAGACTAAGACACCACCCACCCCCAGGGGAAGTGAGGAAGCTCAAAGACCTCGGCATTTGTGTTGCTCTGTGGTTCTTGGCACATGGTCCTGATGCCGAGAACCACAGAGCAACACAGACTGAGCTGCCTGTGCCGTCCTCTGATAAATAACTTCCCTCCACATGCTAGACTGGTCATTCAGCCCCTACTGGGGATGGCTTGGACAGAACTGTCTGGCTCACAATGTTCTCTCTTCTAGAGTCAGGGTCATCCATGGGAAGGATGGAAGAATCTCGGGCAAGTGACTGGGACACTTCTGTGAGCGGGGCCATCGCTTAGCAGGGTCTCTAAGGGGAGCCTAGGGAAGTAGTGATGGGAAGGGCTGCCCAGGGCGCTCTGCCGTCTCACTGCAGTGGGGAAGGAAGGCCTGGGCCAATTCTGGAAAAGGGAAGCCTGTGACACTGGTGGGTAAGTGGTCAGTAGTGTCACAGTGGGGAGTGGGGCCCCATGTCACTGATGCCACTGGTGGGGAAGGTGGACCTGGTGTCACTGGAGGAGAAGGTGAGCCTGCTGTCACCGGTGGGGAAGTTGAGCCTGGTGTCTCCAGTGGGGAAGGTAAGCCTAGAGTCACCAGTGGGGAGGTTGAACCTGGAGTGAGGTGAACCTGGTGTCCCAGGTGAGGAAGGTAAACCTGGATGGGGAAGGTGGACCTGGTGTCTCCAGTGGGGGAGGTGGACCTGGATGGGGAAGGTGAGCCTTGAGTCACTGGTGGGGAAGGTGAACCTGGTGTGACCGGTCAGGACGATGAGCCTGGTGTCTCTGGTGGGGAAGATGAACCTGGTGCCTCTGGTGTGCAATGTGAACCTGGAGTCACCAATGGGGGAGGTGAACCTGGAGTCACTGGGTTTTCTCCTCACTTTGGTGATAACAGAGCACCTTGTTTTACAGCTTTACAACATTCTAGTCAGATTACACAGAAAGGGCACTAACCATTTCTCTTCCTAACTCACCCTTCAATTCCAGAAAACAGTGGACAAGTTTGAATTCCGTTGTCTCTCGGCTACCCACATTTGCGTGAAGAAAAGAAACTGCGTATTACTGGACCCTCAATATTCAAACCCGTGTTTTTAAAGGGTCGGCTGTAATTCCATGAGTGATATTAGCTGCATCTGGAGATAAACACATGGGCACCCTCGAGTTCAGAGGGGGAGGAGATTTTCCCAAAATCTTACCTTCAAGCAAAGGTGGAGCAGAGCAGACCTCTGAGGGAAAGTCCTGGGTGGGGTTTGCTCCATGTTCCTTCCGCTGTCAGAGTGCGGAGCCCCCACAATCTCCCAAACCTGGAGAGAGTAAACTGAAGCTTACTGTCCACCAAGACTGAAGGATGTTCCACCTTGTAAATAATTGACAGTCTGATGACTCTGTAGTTGTCACGGCAGGTGCTGAAGGGCCAGTGCTAAACTCTGCTCAGTGCCTAGCATCTACTAGAACTCCCTCATGCTGTCCTCCTTTCCTAACAATTGTTACAAAGCATTCAACTATAAAGTCAGTGCCTGAGGAAGACAGAGTCACTTGCTTTCCCTTGTTTAAGACCCTCTTGCCCCGGCTCCTTCTGCTGGGTTGTTGCCTGGTTCTTTGGCATGAATTACCCCAGTATTACTCAGGGTAGTGGGCCCTTATCACAGCATCTGAGAACTCACTGGAAATGCACATTTCAGAACCCTTCGCTAGAGCTTCTGAAGCAGCAACAATAGGGGTGGCCCAGGAGTCTGTGCTTTAACACGGTTCCCGATTATTCGTATGAATGCTGAGGTTGGACACACATAGACTTTAGCGCAGGTATGGCCTGCCCACTCAGGGATCCCTTTCTCTGGGATCTTGCCAGAATTCATCTCTTCCTAACCCCAGGACAAGCCAATTTACAGGACCTATCAGAAACTGAATCATATGGAGGCAGTAGCCTTACTACGTGTTCAAATAATAGATTCTAAAAGTTTTTCTGCATGGTTGAAATATAGTGCTGGGATGGATTAAGCAGAGTGCTATGGGCTGAACTGTGTCCCCCCAAAAGTTCATACATTGAAGTCCTAACTCCCAGAACCTTAAAATGTGACTGTATTTGGAGACAGGGCCTTTAAAGAGTGGGCTACATTAAAATGAAGTCTGTAGGATGGCCTGGTGCCCTTATAAGAAGAGGAGATTAGGACACACACACAGAGGAAAGGCAATATAAAGAGACATAGAGACAAGACACCATCTGTAAGCCAAGGAGAGAGTCCTCAGGAGAACCAGCCCTGCCAACATCTTGATCTCAGACTTCGAGCCTCAAGGAACTGTAGGAAACCATTCCTGTTGTTTGAGCTCCCGGCGTGTGGTACTTTGTTATGGCAGCAGAGCCGACCACAACACAGTAATTCAATTAACTTCAAGTATTCTACTGAGAAGTAGCTTTTGAGTTAAATAATAGTTAAAGAAAAGAGGGAGCGCGATACTGACCTTTTCATAAGATGAAGACACCTGCCTGTTGTAACCAGACTCTGTAGACCCCAAGCTTGCAGCACAGAACCACTTATTACCCAACTCACGAGCGATGTGAATCACTCCACGGCAGCCTTCACATCACTGCACCCATGTCTGACAATGAGTTCAACTGTATAATTAAGTAAATTAGGATGGCCAAGGCCACTGGATCAGATAGCTTATCTTTAGATCTATGAGTATACTTGGCAGGAACATCAAGGCTTCATGCAGATGGTTTCAGAATGTTTCATCTGAATTCTTATCGGCAGTCGTATCGAGCACAACCAATTCACTGTGAAACCAAAAGTGCCAATTAGATCTTGTTTGTCCCCTGTTGCAGTTTTATGAGGCTGTCGAAATGAGAGTAGCCAGGGCCCAAGGGTAGGGTGGCGGGCAGCGTGCAGCTGACTTCTATTTAAGCTTAGTTGGCCACCCAGGAGTTGCATTTCATTGAAATGGACCCATTCTGGCATTGTAGACTGGGGGGAAATAATGTTATTCCCCATCTCACCCACACAAGCCAAACCAACGTGTCTAAAAACATCCTCCCATGTGAACAAGATACTAATGACATTGCTCTAAAGAAACTTACCTAATGCCCACCCGAGACAAGATTTTGAGTCATCGTTTACCCTGACCTACAAACTAATTTGTAGAACAGGTTAAGACCAACAGCATCGGTGGCTCCCAGTTTATCTACGGCGTAAAGCTGATTGCAAATAATTTAAACCAAATTATATAACTGACATCTAATCTGTACACATATCTGAAAGTTGGCAAAAATCAGAGCTAGCCTGTATTGAACCTGCAGCCACGCACGTGCCCAGCGTGCCTATGTGTAGATCTGAGTGATGTTCTCTCTAGTGCCTATCATTCCAGGGGTGTCAGGCAAAGCCAAGAAAAGAATCCATCCATTCAATCTCCACATAGACAAGGTGCAAAGGTTACTAAACGGTCTATAGTAATCAAAGTACTCATTTCAAAGACTTGTGCTCAAGCGTGTGCTGCACAGCAAACAGGAGTTGGCTAAGAGGAGGGAAGTGAAGAACACTTATCAGGCACCAGCTTGTGTCAGCAATCGGCCCAAATCTCACATCACACCACAAGGCAGGAGTCAGAGCCCATTTCACAGACGATGACCCTGAGAGGCTAAATGCCTCTCCCAAGTGGGAAAAGCTAGCACTGGACACAGGTGGTCTGACTCAAATCCAGCCCTGCGGGTGACCCGGGGATAAATCACACCATAGACAAGTCACTTGAGTGCCTTTCCAGCCAGTGGTGACAATGTTATTTGCCTTTTAGGCAAATCAGAGTATGCTGTGGTCACTTTGCCTCTTGGTATTTGCTCCTGCACTAAATTGAGGCTGGCCTACTGTGACAAATCGCATGTAGCAGGATGATGGTGTGTGACCTACAAGGCTGGGTCATAAAAGGCCTTGCAGCCCCCACCTTGATCTCTTGGATCACTTACTCTGAGGAGGCTAGCTGCCATGTCATAAGGACATTCAAGTAGCTCTGTGGAGAGGTTCACAAGGAGAGGAGCCAAGGCCCTCATGCAGCAGCCAGCATCAATGTGCCAGCCACGTGAGCAAGTCACATTGGAAGTGGATCCTCAGCCCCAGAGGAGTCTTCAGATGAGCCACATCCCCAACTGACATCCAACTGCAATTGCATGATTCTGAGACAGAAGCACCCAACCAAGCTGATCACAAATTCCTAACCCATAGAAACTGTTTAGGGGTAACTTTTTGCATGGCAGTAGATCATTAATGCCCATATAAATCTCTTCACCCTATTTCCATGTATTAAGGGCAATGATGTTAGTAGGATGTGGCACCATCTCTGGCAGTAAAAATAAGTAAGTAAGTAACACTACCTGCTGCACCAGTCAATGACAGAGTACCAGGACCCCAAGGAGCTCAGCAGCTCCCAACTTTTGGTGTTACCATCCTCGAGGTGTTAAAGAGCCCATGGTTAGGACCCACAAAAGCCCTGTGTATTCTGATAGCCTTATGTATACATCATGAAAAGAGGTACCATCCTCAATTCCTCTCTTCCTCTTATATCCCAAAATACACCTCAACAGAACCTGCTGCAGCCACCTTCAAACCTATTCCAAATTGACCTGCTTTCTCCATCTTAAAACCACACCTATATCTCTCCCACGGACAACCACAGCAGCCTCCTAAAGGGCACCCAGGCTTCCTTTCTGGCTCCTCACAGCAGCCAGAAGGGCCTATCATAAATTCCATCCTAGCACTCCTCCCTCAGGTGCTCCTGTGGGCTCCTGTTACCTGGAGAATAAAATCCACCGCTTTCCCTGGCCTTCAGAGTGCACCCCAGCTGGGCCTGCCACCGGGCCTTTGCCCTGCCAGTCCTTCTTTCTGGAACATTCTTCCCATGGATTTTATTTGGCTTCTTTCCTTCATTTCTTCTCACCTCATGGTCATCTGACCACCTGACCTAAAGAAGCTACCCCATGACTCCTTTGCCTCTCCCTGCATTGATGGTCTCAGTAGGCTCAGGCTGCCACAACAAAACCCTGGAGGCCGGAAGTCCAAGACCAAGGTTCTGGCAGGGCTGGTTCTGGTGAGGGCTCTCTTGCTGGCTTGCAGATGGCCACCTTCTTACTGTGTGCTCACATAGGGTAAAGGGAGAAACGGGGCGAGTGCTGGTGTCTCTTCCTCTTTCCATAAGGGCACCAGTCCTGTGGGATCAGGTCCCATCCTTACAACCTAATTGCACCATTGTCACCTTCTCACAAGTCCTATCTCCAAATGTAGTAACACCGGGGGTTACAGCTTTGACATATGAGTGAGGGGGGGCAGTAAACATTCTGCCCATAACACTTGTCTTCTGCATCACCTTTTACGTCACTATTTTTCCCTGTTTTAGTCATTTATGGATTTGCTTCTCTACCCCGCCTACCTTAACATCCCCAGTGTCAAAAACTGTTCCTGGCATGCTGTAGGTGGCCAGTAAACATGAGGTGGGTGCACAAGTGATGAGTGTGTGAAGCTGGAGAGAATCGCACATGGCTGAGATATCAGGAAGACAGAAGCGAGTTCCTGCATGTATTGAGGTGGCGGGGTGAAGGGGCTGTTTATATTGATTTGCATCCTCCGCTTGGTCTCAATACTGATAGAAACTTATGCAATCGGTGGGCAGCTTATATTTGTGTACTACTTAGGATTCACAAAGCTTCTAACGCACATGGCCTCGTTTGCTCCTTGCAACATTCTGAGATACAGCCAGAGTCAGCACCCCTGTAACAGCTATTGTTGCAAAGACCATCCCCAAATTTGCTAGCTTCAGACAACCACTTATTTAGCTCATGATTCAGTTGATCAGCAATTTTGACTGAAAGCAGCCGGGCTGTTACTGCGGTTTGGGCTGGGCTCCCTCATGTCGCACCTGTCTGGGAAGCTGGGGGTCAGCGAGAGGGTGTGCTTTGGTGACGTGGCTCACTGTCAGCTGGAACGCCTCTGCTCTCCTCCACACACCGTCTCCTCTCCCAGCAGACCAGCCCAGACTTGTTCGCAGGCAGAGACCAAGGAGTGAGAGCCGGCAAAGGGCACCAGGTTCAGGAGGCCTGTCTCAGAACTACACATCCTGTTAGACAAAGTGAGCCACAAAGCATCCCATCTCGAGGGGTGGGAAGTTAGACTCTGCCTCTTAACAGGAAGAGCTGAAGAGTCACACTGGAAAGGACACAGGGAAGGGATGGGAAGTGGGGACATTTTTGCAATCAATCCATCATATTCATATTTTACAAAAAGAGAGACTCAGAGAAAATGTAATGACTTGCCCAAGGTCACAGTGCTCGAAGACCTGAACATGAGTTGCCTGCCCCCAACCTCACTGCTCAGTTCTCAGCGAGCAGTTCTGAGGGTGCGGCAAGCTCTCTCTAATGTTAGTTGCTGACTTTCTTTATCAACCTGCTGATGCTAAGAACTTTCCCCTATACCACCTCATCCAAGGTTTATGGCAATGATTTTTTACGCCCACGCAAATGCTGTACACTGTACGCTGTACACTGCACTGACCACATCCCGACAACAGAGGCTGTCTTTTCTTTCTCTAAAAACGCTCAGCTTAGATGTAAGTGTCGATGCCAAATGAGGAGTGCCATGCTTGAAGGTTCAGGCAGGATTTTGCTCTGCTTTGGTGACATTTGATTGGCACCCTGAGCATACCTTCGAACTGTGTAGGTGGCGACCGTGAAAAGTGCAGGGCTGGTGGATATAAAGAGAGTGGGTGACAAGCCCGAAAGTCCACGCTGTCCTCAGAGTGCAAACAAAAACAGAAAGAATAATTAGAGACTGACTCACCCACTGCGCGGCTCCATTAGAAATTTCCGATGCAGTTACTTGGGCAGCAAATCAGACTCAAAAGAGCAGATGCTAAAAGGATAGATTTTTTAACATTCTCTCCACAAAAAAATATATATATAAAAGTTGGTGAGATGATGGATATGTTAATCAGCTTGATTGACCTTTCTACAATGTATACATGGATCAAAACATTACATCGTGCCACATAAATATGCACAATTATTATTTGTGAATTTAAAATGTATTAATTAATTTTTAAAAACCCAAATGCCTTACCTGGTAGGAAAGATTTGAGGCTGCCTTTTCCTGTTTTTAGCCAATTAGAAAGAGATTAAATTATAATGCATTACATTTACTAAAAATGGCAATTAAAAACCGTCATTAACAAGTGTTTAAATCAAATACTGCATTAAGATGAAAGAACAATTAGTGCACAATTCTATCAAGTTCTTTCTCTCATAGAAAACAGGATTGCTGAGTAATTTAGATCGGGGTTGGCAAACCGTATCTTGGGGCCAAATCCAACCTGCTGCCTATTTTTGTAAATAAAGTTTTATGCAAACACAGCCTTACTCATTCATTCATGATTTGTCTGTGTCCACCTTCATTCTACACCAACAGAATTGGGTAGTTGGAACGCAGGCCCTATGGCCTTCAAAGCCTAAATTATTCACTCTCTGGCCCTGTACAAAGTTTACTGGGAACTGGAATACCAAGTTCTGCAGAAGGTCCTGGGATGTGGAGGATGGGGAGAGGGTGGCCAGTCCATCAGTCTGCATAGTACATGAGGCAAGTGTGACATGCTATCCTCCAGGTGCCTGGAGCAGTGTATGCTCCCAGGGACAGTTTGCGGAATTAAACAGCATAGAATCAAGATCTGGCTGATCCCCAGGTTGGAGAACATGGAGAATGTGCCTCCTCTCAATCCAGTTAGCTAGAATCGCAGAGAACCAGTTCAACCCAGGCCCCGAAGTTCTGCCCCTAAGCCCAAATTAAAGCAATGCTGCAGTTTGATGCTCCTGTTTTTGCTAGGGCACCTCTGAACCAGAATTACTCCCTGAGTCACAAACTGCCCCAGATGAGACTTTGTTATGCTCAGGGAGGACCTGAACTGCTAGAAGGTGAAAGAACCAGGCAGATCGACCCTTTGGAAACTCAGCTTGCCCCCAAGGCTACACCCAAAATGACCGCAACCTAAGTTCAGGCACTAACGGTTCCCTGGTTCCAGACATGCCCATGCTGTTGGGGTTGGGGTTGCTGCTGTCCCTGATGTATGATTGTGTCTGAAAAGGCCAGAGAGGGACCAGGGGCCCCTCTCAGGCTTGATTTATACAAGGGCTCACATCAGTGTGGATGATCTTGGTGAAACAGGAGAATAGGGAATTAGGGCAACCAAGTGTTAAGGCATAAGCAAAGGAAAGGCGGGTGCAGTTGGTTCTGGGCAGGATTGGGCAGTGTGTGGGCCATATCTTCGCTCCTGTATTAAGACAGAAGTTTCCACTTCAGCCTCTGATTGACCGTGGGCAGGGTCTCCACTTCAGCCTCTGACTGGTCAAAGGCCAAGCCTTCATGGGGTGCAGCCAATTGGAGGCCTCTAAAGGGCACCTAGGGGTGTTGCCAGAAGTTTTTGGCTTAATAAAAACTCTAATTGGGGGGTATGCTTGAGCTGCTCGCTGGAGCCTGCTCCCACTTTGTGAACTGTACTTTCACTTCACTACATCTGTGTTTTGTTACTTCTTTCTTTTGTTGTTTTGTCTTTCATTGCTTTGTTCTTTTGTTGCTTCGCTTGTGCATTTTGTTGAACTCGTTGTTCAACACACCAAGAACCTGGACAATTCACAGTCAAGGCCTTCCATCCAGTAACACTGGGGCTGTCACTATGGCTAGCCCAGCTTAAGGGCCACCCCATGCTTTTGTTCAACATGAGCTAATCCCATCACCTCCCAAGCCTCTGGGTCTGCAAGCTGGGAGTAGAACTGGACTGCCTGCACCAAAGTGTTAGCAGCTCAGGGCTAGAACCCTTTAGACTGTGTCCACATAGCTGCCCAGGTGATGAAAACAGAGCTGGGAAGTGAGGCTAAGAATACTTTTCCGAGGAGTGAAGCAACTCTGTAGTCACGTCTCTCTACCTCTTGTTTGGTGGCCATCAGGCTCTTTTCCCTTCTGTTGCCTTCCTTCCATCCCTCCACCCAACCTCCCTTTCTCTCTATGCACTCAGAGCCCTCACTTCTGGCCTGGACTATATTAACAAGCCTTTGTGTGTCCAGGAGCCTCTCATTCCTCTCCTTGCCTATCCATGTATTCTTCAAACATAACGACCATCCCGCCACTACCTAAAGAAGCTCATAGCAGCTCTTTGGGAGACATTGGTGGGCACATCCCAGTCTCAAAGGATGAATAATAGGAGTTGGAGTCAAGCATGGGGTCTCGTCCCTTTGCCAGTGATTGATTTAGGTGTGACAGGAAAGACCACTGTAATCCAGGAGACATGAGGGGACATCTTCAGAAAGGACCACTGAAGAAGGTTGTCTTTCCCATTGAGAAGAGGACAGGGGAAGGGACGTCGCTGGCCACTTCACTGTCCACCACTGTGGCTGGACACGGTGCCTGGACAGTGGCAGGTGGCGTGTAGAGAGCCAGCCCACCACAGACGAAAACCAACAAGAGACAGAGAGACCTGGATTCTTGATGATATTGGCAGGCTGATGAATTAATAGACTCTGAAATCACAGCGACTCCAGAAATTGCCATATGTGGGAAAAAGTACTTTTTTGTTCATTTAAGCTATTTTAAATTAATCTGCATGTTATTTGTTTAAACAAGCTTGGAAATACCTGCCACCAATGAAACACCCTTCCCGGACTCAGGGGCCTTCTTTCCGCTAGGCACAGCTGCTCTGCCTCTTAAAGGTTCCCCCTCGGTCTTAAACATCCTGGATTCCCTCCCACATTGATGCTAACCTAGGCTCAATTTTGAAGTCTTTCCATTGGCCTGTATTGTCTCACAATTTCTCCTATCATGTCCAAAGATGTTGAAAATGTTATTTAAAACTGAATCACGGCCGGGTGCAGTGGCTCACACCTGTAATCCCAGCACTTTGGGAGGCCAAGGCGGGCAGATCATGAGGTCAGGAGATGGAGACCATCCTGGCTAACACGGTGAAACCCCGTCTCTACTAAAAATACAAAAAGTCAGCCGGGCAAGGTGGCAGGTGCCTGTAGTCCCAGCTACTCAGGAGGC